GTGTGACAAGACTCTGCTTGTGCAGCAAAGTCCTCATAGGACAGCTGCCTATGTGGGCTGAGATAACCTCATTACTCAGGTCAATGGGTTCTGGTGGCCTTGTGTGAAGAAGCCAATGGGTGCCAGAATGGCCTCATTTGAGATTGGCTTTTGAGTGAAGCTTTAGGTGCAAGGCTGGTTTCATGCAACATTGGTCTTTGGGTGCTGGAATTGCCTTACCTCAGGGACCTGTGGTTCTATCTTAGCATTTCATGGCAGAAGTCTTGGGTACAGGAAGGCCTTGCTCAACAGGGGTCCTTGGATGCAGGCATAGCTTCATGTGACAAGGACCTCTGGATGCTGGATGGCCTCACTGGTCATTGGCCTTTTGCAGGGATGGCTTTATGTGGCAGAGACTTGTTTGCACAGGATGACATCATGTGACATTGGCATTTGAGTGAGGGGTGGCTTGTGTGACAGACCTGAATGTAGGTTGGCCACATGCAACAGGACCAGCCCCTGTGTTTGTAGGGACTGCTTGGAAGACAAGGATCTGTGGTTGCAGGAATGGTCTTAGGTGACAGAGGTTCTTGTGTGCAGGAATAGCCCTGTGCAACAGGGGGTTTGATGTGCAGAAATGGATTAATGCAAAAGAGATCTGTGCATATAGGACAGCCCCATGCATCTTGGGTTTATGATGCAGAATGACCTCACAGGAACGGGCTGCTATGTTTGCAAGATGAAAGACTGTATTTCAGGGATGGTGTTGTGTGACAGGCACCTTGAAGGAAGGCATGGCCTCACATCAGGGTGTCCTTTTGGGTGTAGGCATGATTTGGGCTACAGGAGCCTTTGTGTGTCGAGAGGGACTCACAAGAGAAAGATCTGTGGGTGTAGGATGTCCTTGAGCAGCTGGGGCTTAGGGCACAAGACAACCTGGTGTGACAGTGTCTGTGGATACAGGAAAGACCTCACGCAACAGCAGCCTTTGGGTGCAGGGATGGCCTTGTGCTACTTTGGATGTGGATTTAGGGATGGCCTTGTTTGAAAGAGACCTGTGTGTGCAAGAACCTATGGCTGCAAGGACGGCCTTATGTAATGGGAGCCTGTGATTCAGGGCTGATCTTCATAACAGGGGTTTGTAGGTGCAGCAGGATGGCTTTGCTTGATGGTGTCCTTTGGGCACAAGGTAGGCCTTGTGTTTGAGTGGCTGTGGGCGCAGGGATGCCCTCCTGTGACAGGGACCTTTGGGTGCAAATGTGTTCTTACGCATCAAAGACCTGTGTGTAAAAGGACATCTTAGCATGTCCAGGGCCTGTGGGCTCAGGGATCATCTCTCATGATCTGTGGGTGCATGGACAGCCTCACGCTCCTGGATGCTGTCAGTGCAGGGATGGCCTCATGTGTAAGGATCATGTGGGTGAGTGGCGGTCCTGCCAGTCAGGGTTGGTGCTGGGACAGCCTTGCTTCGCGTGGGTCTGTGGATGTACAGGTGACTTCACTCAACAGGTACCTGTCATTGTGTGGATGGCCTTGAGAGTGTTTATGTGGCTGTGGGGTGCCCTTGCACATCAGTGGCCTGTGGTTGTGGGAATGGCCGCCTACATCCTGAATGACATGGTAGAAAAGTCAGATTTGGAGCGAGTGACAGGGTCTCCTAGGGAGCAGAAGTTGAGCCAAGTACAGAGATGGGAAAGCACAAGTGTCAGGCCATGAGGAGATACCTATTTTGGTTTGCTGTGAAGTCCTGCTCCTTAGTGCAGAACCAGCCTGTTGTGTTATGTTTCTTCTTGGACTCTACAGTTATGCTTGCCCTATGTGTCAGAGTCCATAGATGGCACAGTGGGTCTCTGTATCATCCATGTGCTCCCTAAGAGGTTTTCCTAAAATGCAGAGCAATTAGTATAGCTGACTGTAAGTAGGTGTAATTCAGAGTTGTCCTGGAGATGGGGCTGTATTCTGTCGTATTAAGACCATCTGGTTTGTGGCCCTCTGTGTTCCTGTATGGTGCTGGGTTGTATCTTGGATGCTGCACTTGCAATCTAGTTCTCTGCTAAAGACCTAGGAAAAGCAATGGAGGATGGCCCAAAGGGCTTGGCCCCTATGACCCTTCTGGATGTTTTGCAGTTTGGGTTGTTTTGTCCAATTAGAAACAAATGCAGATATGCTTGTTTTGTCCAGCTGGAAAGTGAACTAACAGAAGGAAGAGCTCTCTGTGTAAATGAATTTTTTTAAAAGATTTATTTGTCTATTTATTTCAAAGTCTGAAATACAGAAAGTAGGAGATACAGAGGGGAAAATCTTCCATCCGATGATTCACTCCCCAGTGATGATTCACTGACCGCTATGGCCAGTACTGTGCCGATATGAAGCCAGGAGCCAGGAACTTCCTCCAGGTCTCCAGCATGGTTGCAGGGTCGCAAGGCATTGGGCCATCCTCAACTGCTTTCCCAGGCCACAAGCCTCGGGGTGGCGTCGGGGGGCCTGGCCCCTCCTCCCCACGGTCTCCCCTCCTCGGGGGGGGGTGGTTGCCGCGTTGGGGGGGAGGTTCCCCCGCCGTGCCTCCCCGGGGTCGTCGGGGTCTGGGGCACCGCCGGCAAGCGCGTCGCCGCTGCCGTCGTGCGTCCCTCGCTCCCCCTTTTCCCCTCCCCGCCCTCGGTCGGGGGTGCAGTGCAGCAGCTTCTCTCTTTTCCCCCTCCCGCCGTGTGTTGTCTCGTTGCCTGTGCCTGCCGGGGAGCGGAAGGGCGGGCGGCGCGTGTCGCGCGTCGGAGGGAGCGGGCGGCGGTTGTTGCCGTGCCTGTGGGGCCCGTGGCTCGCGGGCCTGGCTTGCTGAGGTGTTGGCGGTGCCGGCGGCGTGCCGTGCGTGCCTCCGTGGGTTGGCTCCGGCGTGCCCGTCTCGAACCCCTGGTCCCCGCCCTCTGGAGGTCCGGGGGCGTGGCGGCCGAGCCCCGCGGGGGGGGGCGTGCGGCGACCTCAGCCCCGTGCGTCCCGACCCTCGCCTCGCCTCGCTGTGCCGCGCGGCCCACGGCGGCCCCGCTTGCCCCGCTACCTCCGGCCCCGGCCGCGTGTGTCCTGTCCTCGCCTCTCCTCTGGCTCTCTTGCTCCAGGTACCTAGCGCGTTCCGGCGCGGAGGTTTAAAGACCCCCGGGGGCCTGTGCCCATCCACCTCGGGGTCGGGGTGGTGGGCCCGTGGGGAGTCGGGGCTGGGTGTGGTCGGCCTCGGCCGGCCCCGCCCCGCCGCTTCTCCTCCTGGCTCCGCTCCCTCGCCCTGGCCTATCCCTCCTCCTCCTCCGTTCACCTCGCCGGGCCTAAGCCGCTTACAGACGAGGGACGGCCGTTCATGGCGAATGCTGCCGAGCTTCTCGTTCTGTCTTGCGGGCTCCTGGTTCCTCTTTCCCCTGCCTCGGTGTGGTGGGAGAGGCCAGGGGTGCGGAACCCGGCTCGATCTCCGCTCCCTCTGCCTCGTGCCGCCTGGAGGTGCGCTGGTGTGGGGGTCCGGGCGGGGGTCCTCGGACGTGGCGGACACCCTTCGCCCTCTGCCGTGCCGGCGTGTCACGGCGTGGGCGGGCCCCCTCCCGCGGTGGTGTGGGGCTCGTCCGGCAGAGTCCGGCTCTGCTCGGCTCTGTGCGGTGCTCCTGGAGCGGTCCGGGTCGTTTGCCTTTCAGGCGCCTGGAACCGAGTGGTGGTGTCGCTCCCTTGCCACCCCAGCGTGCGCTCTCCCGGGTGTGCCGCTGCAGCCTCCTCGCTGGTGTGTGCTGCCTGGTGTGCGGGAGCCTCTGGGGGGTCGAGGTGGTGAGGAAAAGGAAGCGTTGGGCGCAGCACCGGCTGCTGCTGCCACGGCCCGTGGCCTCGCCCGGCCGGCCTCTGGTGCCCCCTGCGCATCCGTGGGGGGTCAGGTGACTTCCTTACCTGTGCCGCAGACCCCTCTGCCCATCCTCGGGCTCGTCCCCCGGGTTGGGTTGATGCTCCCTTGGTGTTGGGGCCCTTTGGGCCCGGTGAGAGGCGCACGTGGGGGCTGGCGGGGTGCGGCTCGCCTTCGGTGAGAAAAGCCTTCTCTAGCGATCCGAGAGGGACGTGCCTACGTGATGGGGTGCCGTATCCCCCGCTTGCCGCGCCGTTCCTCCCTCTTCCTGGTGCGTGTCGGTAGCCACGCTGCTGATGACGCGGATGGCTTGGGTTGTTGTGCGTTAGGTGGCGATGGTCGCTCGTTCTTCCCGGCCCCTTCCGCTGGGGGCCGGACGCTGCCTCTCGCGCCTCTACCTTGCCGTGGCCCGCGCCTCCCCCGTGTCGGGGGAGGGTCCCGCTGGGCCAGGGCCGGGCGTCCCGTTGCCTTACGGGCCCGACGGAGGGGCCCTGCGGTCGCTCGCATGCCTCTGGTGTTGTCTGGCCTTCTGCTTACCACCCGGGGCCCCTGGGGTTGCGTGCGGCTTGTCCCGCGCTGCCCCTGTGGCCCTGGCGTGGGGTGGCTCTCTGCTCGCTTCCCGCCCTGGGCTGTCCGCGGCCCGCTGGCCGGTCGCCGCCGGCGAGGGTGGCGGCGGCGGGGCCACGGGTTTGGGCCCGTTGGGTCTCCCCTCAGCCGCATCGGCTTTGGGAGCGTTCCTGCGGGGTGGCGGCCCTCGGGGCCGGGGGCTCGGATGTTGGTGGATGGAGACCCCAGGAGCCGGTGGCAGTAGGCGCCCGGTGTCGAGAGCGTTGGCGGTGTCGCATTGTGGGCCCCGGTGGGGGGCCTCAGGTGCGCGTCGGGGAACGCGTGGGGTCGCTGGAGGCGGGCTGCCGGCGTCCCAGGCGTGTCACGGGACCGCGCGGGCGTGTGGCGGTGGCATCCCGTGTCCGTTTTCCAGGAGGACCCGGCTTTTGTTGGCCCGAGGTGTTCCCCCGCGGCTCCCCGTCGCGCCTCTGGCGCCTCTCCCCCCGCGGTCTGATGCCATGCCCCCGCAGTTGGCCCCCTCGCGGCCCGCTGTGGCCTCGTGTTGCTTGCGTGCGCCGGCGAGCCCTCTTTGGGGTCGGGGTCGGGGGTCAGATGGCTGCGACGGTGTGGCCTGTGGTGCTGCGGAGCCTGGCGTTCACCCCCATCGTCGGAGGCGGTGTGTGCGTGTGAGGGGTGGCCGAGTCACACGGTGGCGTGTCCCCGGCTGTGTGGCTGTGCCCGGCGCCTCCCCTCCCCCCATGCGGGACCGCCCTTGCGCCTGGAGGGTGCTGGCGGTGAGATCCCGCGTGGTGCGGGGGGCTGGTGTGCCGCCTGGCCGCCATCCGGTTCAATGGTCCCGTCTGTCCGTGTCGAGGAGGCCCTCCTCTCCCGTGCCCCGCTCCGCGCTTGCGGGGGTCCGCCGGCCCTCGGCTCCCAGTTGTCACCGTTTTGTCAGGCCTCGCT